AGGGTTTAGCGAGGAACCGGGCTCTGTGAGGGCAGAACTTCTGAGCCGAAAATCTCTTTTTCTCGGAGCCTTCGGGCGCTCCGGAGCTTTCCTCTAGCACCTTGAGGTTACTAGGGCTTTGATAGGGTTTTGGGAGGCTTAGAGAGAAGTTAGAGAGAGAGAGAGAAAGAGAAAGAGAATGGGTTTTTTGGTGTGAGAAATGAAAGCACCATAACATGCTATTTATAGGCTGAATTTTGGACCTACTCGTTGAGTTTTGGCCTCCAACTCGTCGAGTTGGTGCGACATGTCACCATCTGGTGGCAAGGCTTGGGGAGAAAGCAATGGCTCAGATCGCGCCACATTACCCACTTCGCAGCAGCACCCTTCCGACTTCTCAACTCCGTAACTTTCGCATACGAGCTCCATTTTCGACGTTCTTTATATCCACGCGTAGGTATTGACAAGATCTACAACTATTCTTTTGAATTCATCGGCTAATTCTCGACCAATTTTAAATTTAACTGTATGAGAAGATTACATTGTTTAACGACCGTGTAAAATTCATAACTTCTACATACGGGCTCCGTTTTCGACTGTCTTTTTATCGTTGAGCTCCTATTAATGAGATCTTTAATTCTCATTTAAGTTGTGTCGGTTAAAAATCGATCGATCTAAAATTCAAATTTCAGGTTGTGCACTAATATGCTAAATCTTAGAAAAATCATAACTTCATCATACGAAGTCAGATTTGGACGTTCTTTTTATCCACGTTCTCGGTTTAACATATACTACAACTTTCGTTTAGATTCCTAAGGCTAAAAAGTAGTTTATCAAAAATTCACTTTTTACGATTCCCGGTGTCGTGCCGGTTTTGCCATAAAACTTCGACAAGTTATAACTTCTTCGTTATAACTCGGATTTCGGCGTTCTTTATATGTACAGAACCCTTGTGACATATACTATAACTTGGTTAAGATTATTTACTCTAACTAATATTCCATCAAAAAGTCATTTTTGACGCTTATTGTCTCTAAATTGACTAGCTCGAATCTGCGAGCGTTACAGATGAAGGTGTCGAAGATCATAACAAAATTGGTATGACTTGTAATTAAAAGCAAAATCCTTTTTGGGTTGCCCTTAGAATTAGCCTTAGCATTCACCAGGTTGGTGTGCAGTTGTAGAAGTGATGTAAGACTGCGGAGCAGCTGTAGCATCCACTGGGTTAGCGTGCGGTTGTAGGAGTGACGTAAGATTGTGGAGCAACCGTAGCATTCACCAAGTTAGTGTGCGATTGTAGGAGTGATGTAAGACTGCGGAGCAGCCATAGCATTCACCAGGTTAGTGTGCAGTTGTGAAGGTGTTATAAGACAGCAGGGGAGTCGTAGCATTCACTAGGATGGTAGGCGGTGGTAGCAGTGATGGAAGTCTATGACTTGGCACGTGACATTCTCTAGGATGATTTAGATCATCACAGGGATGGGAGAAGGGTTATGGGCCTCAACATTTGTAATACTTGGGAAATCATAGGCTGTGTTGGGCCAAAGCAATAAGAGAACTCGGTTCAGTTTGTAACCATCTCTGGGGTTAAGCGGACTTAGTGATCGTTCGAGCATTGGTTGATTTGTCCTTCATTGGGAGGGATTGATTGATGAAGTTGTGTTGGAAGATGGTCCAGGACCACCTGTACCTGATTAGTCTTTGATTCTGGAGCTGATTTTGTTCTCGATGAGGATTTTTTTTCTATAAGTGGTCAGGGCGATATGTTTCGGGTATCCGTAAATTTGTTCAGGACGGTTAGGTTTGTGCGGATCTGGATATGAAGTTGAGTCATTGTGGAAATGGTTTAGAGGGATTCTACCTTCCTGGGAGTCAGACATCGATCAGGGTTTCAGTTTCAGGCATAGCGGTTGGGCACAAGTTGGTTGAGATCATTGTAGTTGTGATTTACATAAATACTTATTAATTGAAAATTTTGGGTTGAAATTTGAGTCGTTATATATATATATATATATATATATATATATATATATATATATATATATATATATATATATCCTTGTGTGTTAGGATGCAACAATAGTGGTATGTTGGTTAGAGCACCAGTAGGTTGGTTCTGCGTTTACTATGATACTCTGATTTCAAACAATATACCTTGGAACAAATGGTTTTCTTAACTTGTATTCTAAAAATGAGCAGTTTTACCTTAATTAAAAATGAAAATTTTTGATGTGAAAATGGGATGTTACACCATGTATGTTATGATAGAAAACTAATAGAGTAAAGCTGATAGAATAGTCTCTATGTGCTTAAGTGTAAACCGGTAGAGTAGAAAGTATAATTGTGCATGTACTAGTAGAATCTAACGTGCAGTTTCTATCTGCGTAATTGTTGTAATTAAAGACTTAGTTAGGGCATGATGGTGGAACGGTTAAAGAGGTTAGGAGCCTATAGGCATGCGTGTTAACGATATGGCGTGTAGGCCGTAAGTACACATAGACACATGTTAACGAAATGACGCGTAGGCCATAAGTACACATAGACATTTGTTAACGAAATGGTGTGTTGGTCGTAAGTACACATAAACACATGTTAACGAAATGGTGTAAGTAAACATATTATTAGCAGATAGTGAGTCATTTATGTACTGTGGTATATGGTATTTTGGGAAACTCATTAAGCATCGTGCTTACCCAGTTGATTATAAATGTTTTTCAGATACTTCATTGATTCGTAAGAAGGGCAAGGTTCGACTGTACACACGCACATTCGCAACATGTTTCCACATAATGTAATTATACACTGATATATTTAATAAATAAAAATGAAAAACTTAAGTTGAAATTCGAGATGTTACAAGTAGAGATATGTAGATTGAGGTAGTAGGGTTGGTTGAAGGTGACAACGCTATATCAGTAGGTTGTTGCCGTGATGGTTGAAAATGGTGGCAATCGTAGGATAGAGCTTGAAGGTTGTACAACATAGGAATCCGTAATTATTTTTAACAACTTAGAAATGTCTTTTTGTAAAGCCTTTTTACAACTTAGAAATATTTTTAACTTTCTAAGATTTTGTTCGATTTGTAAAAATCAATGCAAAATAATATGTTAAATGTGAAAAAGAAAAAAATAAAGTAAAAAATTTAAAACATTACAAAAAATTTAAAATAAACTTGAAAGAAAATAATTAGAAAAATATATAAACACTATTTTCTTATAAAATGGAAGAAAAAAAACTATATATTTTATATTAAAATATAGTTATAATAAAAACAAACCAAATAGGATGTTAGAATGTAATTGTTAGATTCCATAATTTTTTTTATTTTATTATTTTTTTTCTTCACATACCTTCCTTACTCCATTATATCCAATCAAACAAGCTGTTTCGTTCATTGGAATTTTAAAAAATTAGAAGGAATCAACTTCTGTTAAAAAATTTGATTTCTAAATGAAGAAAAAAGAATTGGATTCCTAAGACTAAAAGGTGTGGTAAAGATTTTACCGTCGGTAATATGAATTGACAAGTTTTACCGGTAGTAACACTTTCCCCATCTTTTTTTTTTGCCTGTATTAAGTAACCGGTACACTTCGGTCAGTGGAAAATTGGAGTTTTATTTTCATTGTAGTTGTTGATTGGTCACTTGCAAACTAAATTTTTTTTTTTTAATTTCATAGGTAAAAAATTAAGACACCCCTATCATAAGTAATATTATTAATAAAGGGAAATGCTTACATGGCGTCTATGTGACACACCTTTATCACCCTTCAACCTAAAATAAAAAAAAAAATAATAAATAAATAAATAAATCCTTCAGTGCACGGAAACTAAAGTTCATTCCATCAAAAGATGGATAGAATTATTTTCAATGAATGAGGGAATATGCAAGATTACCGTATTACCCTCTACCAACATCACCACCACCAATACCACCGACATCACCTCCACTACCACCACAAACACCTTCACCACCGCCACCACCACCACCACCCACCTTCGTCATCAACGCTACCACCTACCACAAACACCCACCACTAGGTCCACGACTACCTACCACCGTCACCACCTACCACCACCTCCACCTACCACAACCATCACTGTCACCGACACCATCATTACAATCGCCACTACCATCGCACCACTATGACCACCGCTACCGCCGCCACCACCCACTCACCACAACCGGTACCATCGCCTCCATCACCACCTCCACCTACCACAACCAACACTGTCCGACACCACCCACCACCGACACATCATCACAATCGCCACTACCATCGCACCACTATGGTCACCGCTACCGCCGCCACCACCCACCACAACCGACACCATCGCCGCCACCACCACCTCCACCTACCACAACCAACACTGTCTGGAACCACCCACCACCGACACCATTATCACAATCGCCACTACCATCGGTCACCGCTACCGCCGCCACCACCCACCACAACTGGCACCATCATTGCCGCCGCCACCCACCACAACCATCAACACAACCGGCACCATCGTCGCCGCCGTCACCTCCACCATCACCATATAACTTTTAAAACAAAGTAAAATTATGCAAAAAAAAACAATTTTGTCATTTTACATCATTTCAGTTCCATTTTCTTCCACCCAAACATAATATGGAATTGGATTGACAAAACTGCACAAATGCTCCCTGTGGTTTGTCAAAAATTGTTACTTTGATCCAAAAAGGTTTGGACTAACACCAGAGGTCCACACTTTTTATTTTTTTTGCGAGTTTGGTCTAATTTACTATTAACTTTTTCATAATGACGATTTTGCCCTTACTTTTTTCTTTTTCATTTTTCTTATTATTTAAAGATTTTTTCAGATTAAAAGAAAAAAAAGAAAATTTTCCTTTTCTATTTAATTTATATAATTTTTATAACAGAAAAAATAGAAAATAAAAAAGAAAATCTCTCTCTCTCTCTCGTTGGTTGAAAAGAGATTAACGGGAGGAACCCCAATCAAAGAAGCTCAAGAAAAAATGCATCTTCTCAATCGGAAATTCACCATAATGCTCCTGCCCCAAATCCAACTTCATCTGTGAAATCCACCTTCAAGATCTGTGCATCGATTGCATTGATTGTGTCAACTGTGTCCGCCAGAAATCGCTCGTCCAGAATCCACCACGGTCGCCGTCGTCCTCTATCTCCTTTGCTCTGACGACGACTTCGCCTTTGCAAACCCTACATCGATGAACACGACAACAAAACTGACTCAGTTCGTCTCTCTTTATCAGTTATTCCTTCACCAGTCGCCCCTTTCTCAGATCTACGTCCCTCCCAAACGACGAGTTGAAGATCATAGCGGTGGTGGTTTCGAGTTGCTAGGTTTGCAGCGTATCGTTTCTTCTTCAGATCTCTGAGCAGACACATGCACTCAACGAAGGCGAAGAAGGTGAAGGCAGAGAAACCTTTTCTCTTTATGGGGGTCTGCCGACGACGACTTCCTCTCCTTTCTTCTCTGATGACAACCTTTGCAAAAACCTTAGTGCAACCCTTTCTCTATTGTGGCGTTTGTGTGTGTGTTTAATGCTTTTCAGATCTGTTGTGGTGTTTGAGTGTGTGTATGAGTTTAATCTCTCGTTGGTCTTGTTAGAGTTTGTGTGTGTATTTAATATGTGTGTGTGTGTTTGTGTGGAGATGATGGTTTTCGAGTCTGAAATAGTGAGAAAGAGTGAGGGGGACAACCAGTCTCCGACGAATTCCTTTGTGGTTTTACTCCTCGTCGACGACGACTAACAAATCAGAAGGATCAAGTTGTATCAGCAGTCGATCGTTGGGTGTTTGGCAGGTATCGATGAGCGGAAAGAAAGGAAAAATAAAAAGGATGAGGGTTGTGCCTTTTTCGGTGGCCTTCATCTCCGCTTTGGTCATCTACGGGGTTGTAGAGATCAAAGGGGATCACATAAATCGAAAGAGGGGTTTGGGGTTTGCTAATCGACAGTGAAGGGAAATTGCCTCCTCTTAGGTGACCGGAGACTCCATCTCCGATCGTAGGTTTCACCCGAGAGAGAGAGAGAGATTGATTGAATTTTTATTTTCTATTTTTTATGTTATAAAATTATATAAATTAAATAGAAAAAGAAAATTTTCTTTTTTATTTTTTCTTTTAATCAGAAAAAATCTTTAAATAATAAAAAAAATGAAAAACAAAAAATAAGGGCAAAATCGTCATTATGAAAAAGTTAATAGTAAATTAGACCAAACTCGCAAAAAAATGAAAAGTTTGGACCTCTGGTGCCAGTCCAAACCTTTTTGGACCAAAGTGACAATTTTTGACAAACCAGTGACCATTTGTGCAGTTTTGTCAATTGGAAATCCAATTCCATTTCTTGTCAACCAAACAACTATGAAATTGAGTTCTAATTTCTAACATATTTCAATTCTTTGACAGATTCCATTTCCTTCATAAACATTTTATAAACCTTGGTAAACATTTTACAAACCAAACGCAACCTAAGTAATTATAAAATTCAAAGGTGTTTCTCTTGCAAAACGATTACCATGAGCATATTTAGTTATATCCTACCACAAAAAAGATACGACATCCAAAAATGTACAAAATCCAACAAAATCCTCCGAGTAAGGATAACTAAACCAAAACTAATCCTCAAAGGAACAATGGTACAGAAGAGTAACATACAAAAAATAATCAAAGTTACATAAACACTTAACAAAATTTTCCAAAATCATACAAGAAGTGGAGTTGTAGCATTTAAATACGCCGGATTATGATTCCTATTAATCGGCAGATGAACATAAATCTCATGAACTTCCTGCTTACACACCTCCCCTTTATCTCTATCAATCGCATAGCATATATAAACCGTATCTATCACATTATCCAGCACATTCACCAAAAACCCAAGAACCACTATCAACACCACAAACGCCATTGCAGCTATAAAGTACGAATCTACCCCTAGCCCACTTGCCGCATTTAATATCACACAAACCTACATACCCAGTACACGTTTATAACCAAAAGGGGGGTAAATCTGTAAAACTGTAAAAACGGTAAATAAAAAACTGTATTAAATGATAAAGATTTTAGATTACTAACCACAATCGCATAGATTGCTGACAGAACAAAGATGATTGCAGCCAACAAACGAGTGGAAATAGTCTGTACGATAACAGCTGAGAGAAGATTGCGTCTTAGAAGTTCATATGTTAACCTAGCAGATGAACAATAAGCTTCACCGGTTATGGCGGAAAAATTTATGGTGAATTTGTTGAGAAATTCGAAGGCTGAAAGTAAGGCGTTGACAAAGCATCGTAGAATTAGGTTAACCATGCCACTGGCGTCTTCACTTGCTGCAGTATCAACAGCAGCTCGCACGATTCGAACAATACCGATTAATAATCCAGAGAAACATATTGTTCCGAATGATGGGCCAAATGCGTTTCTGAACAAGTATTGTAAGATATAATCAAGTTACGATCTTCACAGAAACTAAGAAAGTTGGAAAATTTTGGGGAAGAAATACCTCAGGGAGCTTCGTATGGGTTTTTTGGCCTTTGAATCGTCTTTTGAGAAGTACCACTGAGCGATGGTTCCGCTGATTACATAAACTTGTGCTTCCACCATTGCAGTTGCAGACCATAACATCGTAAGAATCGCCAATGCAAAGTAAGCTGGAACCCAGCTATCTTGTTTCCACACGCAAAAAACCTTCCCTTGTTTTTCCCTAGGAACAATTTCGCCGTTTAACCTTGCAAAGACCAAGAACACTACGATTGGGACATAGTAAACGAGCAACCCAAGGATCAATGCGGGAAGAACGAGGAACAGCCCTAAGTTATTGGACAAAGCGTCGGATGATACCCTGATTATGTTCACAGTCAACTCGATTCGACTCCAATTGACCACGAAGATCCACACAATCACCCCGATTATTAAAAGAACAAACACCAGCACTAGGATTCTGTAAGCTAAAGGGAAATCTTGGCTACAGGTGGGATTAATGGTACAGGTGATAAACCAATAGAAGTCTAGGAACACAGGGACTATTACGAAAAAGGGAAGTGAAACGTACACCAACTGTTTGGCGTAATGTTTGAGTGAAAAGAGTACAAACAAAGAGATGGGTATGCTTAAGATCAAAGTAATTACAAGTGTGAGTATCAAATTCTTCAAGATATAATCAGAACCAGACCGGAATAAATTAAGAAAGAAATCTCTATCCCCGATAACTGAGCTGCTACGGCGTTTTATGCAAGAATCGGAACTGATATCATAAGAAAAAGCAGAAACGGAGGAAGAATTAGGGTTTTTATTGATTGAAGCAAAGATACCGAAGGCGAAAGTGGAGATGACGAAAAGGAGGAAAAGGATGAGGAAAGTGATGTCTTTGATGGGGCGAGGGGATTGGTGGTTGTAAGTGATATTCGTCGGATAGTGAGATGACGACGATGGGTCCGATTCGGAGGGTGGTGGCGAATGGTGGAGCTGGTTGAATTCATCGATGTAGGAAGATAATAGAGGTTTAGATGGAGGGTCAGTGACTTCGGAGGACTTACCGGTGGCGGCGGAGTCGTCGGAGCTGGCCATGGCATCAATAAAATTAGAATATAAAATTTCTACTGACTGAAAGCTCTGTTGAAGTAGTCAATCTTGATGGACTGAATTCAAAAAGTTTCCAAAACACAAAAAGCAAATCGAATGTTAATGAAACTGAAACTGATGTTGTTGATTAGGGTTTGTGATGAAGAAAGATATGCTTTGCATGTTGACCACATGGATCACATGTAGATGCGTCCGATTGGATCTTGTTTATATACTCTTGTCCTCTCAATTTGACGTTTGACCCACCAACATACAGATTTGTATCAAATATTTTAAATAATAAATATATTCGAAACTTGATCACATCTATTGTACGTTTGGTTTTAATTTGGTGGTACCATAAAAGATGTTTACTTAAATAGTTAAATAAAGTCTTTTTTTTATCAAGCACATGAAAATGGCAAAAACATGAAAAATTCAAAAAAGCATGAAAATTAGAAAAATAAAAAATATCAAGCTTTTTCTCAAAGTAAAATAGGTACAAATAAATGTATTATCAAACTAGCGAAAATCCCAAAGTATAATACTCAAACTGTAAAATCTAGCTAATTGTATCGATGCTATGATTCAGCCGTTGTGGTTTGTAATACAACATCCCACTCTGTCTTTGGGATTTCGCCTGAATCCGCAATAACCACTTTTTTTCTTGGTTTCCCACTGTAAGTACCTGCTCCCCCTTCGATTGCATACACTGTATCCATCCCTTCGATAACTTTTCCAAACACAACATGTTCCCCATCCAACCTGTAAATTGTAAATTCCACACAAGACAGGACATGACATGACATAACAGACTGTATTATGTTTGGATACATGGAACTGAGACCAATGATAATAGGACAAAAATTTGCATTTTTTGTCTTACTGTCACTGTGACTGATGTCAATAAGACAGAACTTACCAGTAGGCCTTAACGGTAGTGATAAAGAATTGTGCACCGTTAGAATCTGGTCCAGAATTGACCATGGCAATCATACCTGCAAGAATCTTATAGTTTTAGAAGAAAATACTTTAGAAGAAAATAATTATGTAATAAAAAAAACCTGGTTGTGAGTGCTTGATTTTAAAATTTTCATCACGAAAGACTCCACCATAGATAGATTCGTTTCCTCTCCCATTGCCATAAACAGTATCTCCACCTTGGATCATGAACCCAGGTATAATACGATGAAAAGGTATTCCTTTATAGTGGAGCGGTTTTCCACTTTTACCCTTGCCAAATTCCCCTAATTGCAAAAGAAATTTGGATTTAGCAACATATGAACTGAAATTTCTAGTTTACATTTTATACTAGTGGGAACAACAGTTACCTGTGCATAGAGCGCGGAAATTTTCTGCATAAAAGAAAAACAATCAAGTATTTGTTAATTAGATAAAGATCAAGTAATAAATACATTTAGTCCCCTGTTTAATAATTAAAAAATATTGAAAGCTTACCAACAGTTTTTGGTACAACTTCGCCATACAACCCTATGACAATTCTTCCTGTAGTTATAAGGTAAACTGGGTAAGTTGGTGATAAATATTACATGAAAAAAATTAAATTCATAACATTTGTCAAGAACCTAATGTGCAGTTGACATTTGTATATTAATCACAATGAAAATCATACCTAATCGTTGCTTATCAATATCAACATCCAGAAATGTTCTGTGGGTAATTTCATGGACCTCTTCCACTGTATCTTCCTCCTAAACACAAACCAGGTTATGTCCAACAGATTAGAAGAAAATCAGGTGTTAATCACATTGGATTTTGATAGTATTCATAAACAAGGTAAACATTTAATCATACTATCCACTAAAGAGTAACAAAACTAAGGACACATTTGTGCATTGGCTGCCAAAACCATGATTATCAATCCTCTAAAGTTTAGTAAAAAAAAGACCTATGAACCCTTTGTTTTATCTACTAAAAAGAAATCCAAGATTTACCAATTACCCTAATCACAAATCCCCCAACTCTGTTAATCTCTGCCCTAAATCCTAATTCATATCAGTGGCCAGCATCAATCACATTAGATAGTAAGAAGACCTCACGTATTTAGTTCATAGTTAATAGTTAACTCACAAACTGTATCATTACAACTGCACCTAAATCTTTTCTAAGATCCTTAAACAAAATGCTGCTTCATCTAAGTCGAGATGTCAGAATAAACCCTTTGAATCCATTTTAAATTTATTAATAGATCCAAATCCAATTCAATTCTAACAAATGCCAGTGAGCATTACCTGTTGAGAGAACGATGAGAAAGCGAGGAAGACGAAAATTAAACCGATCAATAAGATAACAAAGGACCGCGGCCGAAGTAGATTCGAGATCTCTCGACCCATCCCTGATTCAGATTCTTCTTCTTTCTCATACATTCAACCAATCCCCAAAATAAAACGAAATACTAATTAGCAATGTCTAAAAGACTTTTTCGAGAATCACAAAACCCCCCCACCAACAAACTTCAAAGAAGATCAGAAACTACCACCACTGTCAGTGGTATCGACTCTTGTTCGGCTATTGAATTGAAGCGATGTGTTGATTCTTCGGTCCTTAAATCCTCCGATTCATTCGCTGATTACCAGATCTAAGGAATTTGATGTATCTGTTGTCCCTTTCGTGAATTAATTGGTAATATTGATCGTATACACTGGAAATTTCACACGCCAGGTGTTTGAAGAATTGTCCTAGTTGACTATTTGACACCAAGTCAATCGCGTTATATGGTCATGGGCTTAATCAGGAAATCCAAGAGTATTGAGTTATTATTATTATAGAAAGTAATTTTAAATAGAGAAAATACAAAAATAGTCAATTATCCTAATCACTTTGCGAAAAATAACCAAAAAAAATCGAAATTGCAAAAATGGCTACGAAAATCGCAGATGGGAATGGTCCATCTGCGATTTGCACATTCCATCTGCGAATGTACAAGTGGCTAAAGCACAAGTGTGCTTTAGCACTTGTGCTTTAGCCACTTGTAAATTCGCAGGTGGATTGAATTTTTTAATTTTTTTTTTCTATATATATAGGGATTTTCAGGCGCAGATGGATTGATGGACATAGTCCATCTGCGATTTTCTCTGTATGCCATCTGCGATTTTATGTTTTTTTTAAATTTTTTTTTTTTAATTTGACTATGAAATCAAATGGTTTGACTACGAAATAATGTTACTATATATAAACTTTTGTAGAAAATTATCATTTTAGTTGTTATTTGTTTAGGAAATTTCTCTAAAATCTCTATAAAAAAATGATTGAATATTTTGTTTGTCTTGTAACCGGTGGGAGATGACAAGTTATTGAAACAAATCTGGAATGCGTATGTCCACAGGGAGGTATTTCTGAATTCGCTTTGATATTTTCTGAGTATATTAGTTATAGTGATTTTGTATCTTTGGTGAGAAGCAAAATTGGTTTGTTAGACAAATATAGAATTAGTCTTCGTTTCCATCATCCTGAATTGAATTATTATATAGCTATAGTTGAAGACATGGATGTTAGAATGTTGATAAATGTAATCAAATGTAGTGGAGGAAGGGCTGTCAAAGTGTTTGTGGTGGTTGATGAAGGAGATGAGGTTAATGAGGCTGGTCACAGTGGAAATCAGCCGGTTGGTAATTTATGCAGCTATAAAGGGAGCAACGATCCGATAGGTACTTTCAATACTCCTAGTGTACCTCAGTTTCACAGTGTTGCTGAAAATGTTAATGTTAGTTATTCACCTATTAACTATGTGGATCCTGAGAATTACAAGTATGTTGGTGATGATGATGTTGGTACATATCTTAATGATGTGGGTGGTCGTTGTGATGATGTTGTCGAACAAGAAGTTAAAGTTATGAATAGGCGTGTAGTAGATAAAAGTAAAAAGAAAAAAAATTCGAGTCAAAAAAATGAAAAAAAGCATGTTTACGGGGATTATGTTGATGTTGCTGATGTACGTTTAGATATAACCGACCTACAAAGCAATTCAGATAGAGATGAGTTGGGTGATGAAGTTAAAGCTAAGTTTCCCGATAACCTTTTTTACGGTATGCCCCCTGTACCAGCATGTCCAGTTGATATTAATGAAGATATCCCAACACAGATGGTAGACATGAATCTTCAAAAGATTGAATGTGAGAGTATATTTAAGAACAAAGAACTTTTAAAGCGGTGTATTGGTAAAAAATGTCTTCGAGAAGGTTTTCAGACGAGGACAAGTAGATCCACCAAATCAAGGTATGAAGCTGTGTGTGTTTCGAAAAATTGTTCTTGGTTACTAAGAGCAAAAGCAATTAAAAATTCTGATGGACTTTTCCAAGTGAATAAATTTGTTGATGTACACACATGTTCTTCAACAATTTTGCAACCTAATCATCGACAAGCAAACAAATATGTTTTGGGTGAATATCTTGCTGGTGTTTTGGCTGAAGACTATAGTAGAGTTTATCGGGGAAAAGATATTATTAATGATATGAATGCTCAATTGAATATCAATATCTCATACCATCAGGCATGACGTGCGAAACAATATGCATTGTTGTTGTTAAGGGGTACGAAAGAGGATTCTTTTACCAAACTTCCGGATTATTGTCACAATTTGGTCAAACATAATCCGGTACGGTGACACATATTAAAACAGATGGTGATGATCGCTTTGAGTTTTTGTACGTCACACTCGGTTGCTCGGTTAGTATTATAATATTTTATTATTTTTTTCATTTTATTTTGGTGTATTTGAATAGATATACAATGTATTGTAGGTACGCGCTTTTGTCAAATTTTGTAAACCGACCCTAGTAGTAGATGGAGCCCACCTAAAGGGCGAGTTTAAAGGTACCATGTTACTTGCAGTTACTAAGGACGGACAAAACCAAATATTACCGGTTGCATGGTATATGCAAAAATGAGTGTACCGATTCTTGGACATGTTTTTTTCAAAAACTACGTGATTGCATAGGAAATATGCAGGAGATACAATTATATCTGATAGGTCTCCATCTATAGCAACATCCGTTGCCAACATTTTTCCTCATGCTCATCATGGAATATGTGGTGTCCATTTGTATTTCAACATAGTATCTAGATTCGGGAAGAGTAACACAGTTAAAGGAATATTTTGGGAGGCTTGTAGGGCGTACACAGTTGATGCTTTTGACGCTGCCATGGATGTTATGAAAAAGACAAAAGAACCAG